AAAAAATTGTTTATTTATTTATTTATTGGTTCGATTTATATGCCGCCCTTCTCGGGGACTCAGGGCGGCTTACAATGCGTTAAGCAATAGCCTTCATACTTTTGTATATACCTGCTTAGTAGGGCTTGCGGACCCCCAAGCGGTGGTTTTTTTTATACAAAGTCAGCTTATTGCCCCCACAAACTGGGTCCTCATTTTACCTACCTCGAAAGGATGGAAGGCTGAGTCAACCTTGAGCCTGGTGAGATTTGAACTTGCAGTAATTGCAGGCAGCTGGTGCTATTTAACAGCACTTTAGTCTGCTGTGCCACCAAGGCTCTACTCATGGCCTTTCGTGTGACCAGCTTTCTCCTGGAATAACCACTATACAAATTAATCATTTGTTTAGGAATGCAGGGAAAAGGAGCCACAATGAAGATTTCCCCCATACCCCTTAATTATTTCACTGCCACACTTCGCTTTAGTGCTTTTTCTTATTTTCTTTCTCTTATTTTCTTGTTAAAAGGATGTTTTCCTTTCATTCCATTCTTGGGACATGAATTGTCCTTAATCTGGCCCTGGCTCAGGTAATTGAGTGAGGGTTCTGAGATGGACCATTTCTTTCTTTCTTTCTTTCTTTCTTTCTTTCTTTCTTTCTTTCTTCTTCTTTCTTTTTTCTTTTCTTCCTTCCTTTCCTTCCTCCTCTCTTCCTTCCTTCCTTCCTTCCTTCCTTCCTTCCTTCCTTCCTTCCTTCCTTCCTTCCTTCCTTCTCTCTCTCTCTCCTCCGCCCCCCTCTTTCTTTCTTTCTTTCTTTCTTTCTTTCTTTCTTCTTTCTTCCTTCCTTCCTTCTCTCTCTCTTCCTTCCTTCTTCCTTCCTTCCTTCCTTCCTTCCTTCCTTCCTTCCTTCCTTCCTTTCTCTCTCTCTCCCTCCGCCCCATCTTTCTTTCTTTCTTTCTTTCTTTCTTTCTTTCTTTCTTTCTTTCTTTCTTTCTTTCTTTCTTTCTTTCTTTCTTTCTTTCCTTCCTCCTTTCCTTTCCTTCCTTCCTTCCTTCCTTCTCTCTCCTTCCGCCCCCTCTCTCTTCTTTCTTTCTTTCTTCCTTCCTTCCTTCCTTCCTTCCTTCCTTCCTTTCTCTCTCTCTCCCTCCCCCTCTTTCTTTCTTTCTTTCTTTCTTCTTTCTTTCTTTCTTTCTTTCTTTCTTTCTTTCTTCCTTTCTCTCTCTCTCTTCCCCCCCCCTCTTCTTTCTTCCTTCCTCTTCTTCTTCCTCCTTCCTTCTTCCTTCCTTCCTTCCTTCCTTCCTTCCTTTCTCTTCTTTCTTTCTTTCTTTCTTTCTTTCTTTCTTCTTTCTTTCTTTCTTTCTTTCTTCCTTCCTTCCTTCCTTCCTTCCTTCCTTCCTTCCTTCCTTCCTTCCTTCCTTTCTAATTTGTTTTTCCACCTAACTCATCACAAGGTGAGCTTCAAGACCACAACCTGGCCAGAATGTCCCCCTTTAAACAAAAACTGAAATTTTATCTCCTGCTACCTCCCGAATTTTCTCTTCAAATTGATAGGTGAAAAATTGCTTCAGATTTTTTATTCTTCAAATTTACGTACCACCCATCTCACTCTCGCGGCGACTCAAAATGGTTTACAGCAGGGGTGTCAAATTCGATTTCATTGAGGGCCACATCAGGGTTGTGTTTGACCTTGGGGGAGGGGCAGGGTAGGTGTGGCCAGAGTGGGCATGACATGACCTGCTCAATGTCACTCATATCAGCGGCATCTGTGGCAGCCTGAGTGAAAACAGTTTCCCAGTGAAAACAGGCTCCCGAACTCCGTTTCCGGCTGTGAAGGCCTCCTGCAACTCTCTGCCAGCAAAAACAGAGCTCGGGAGGGCCGCGTGCTCCCACGTTGGGAGCCCCTTTTCACTGGCAGAGACACGGTGGGCTGGTCCATCACTGTTTCCAGGGTGGATCCCATGGGCCAGATCTAAGCACCTTGTGGGCCAGATCCAGTCCGCAGGCCTTGAGTTTTACACCTCTGGTTTACAGTGTTACAGTTTTTATGAAAGAAACTAACAACAGTCAATTTAGAAAAGCAACAAGCTTCCTTTCTTCCTATTTCTAACTTGATAATTCCCTGGGAATTTTGACGGATTCCAAATGTCTAACCTGTATTTCCTCACTTATTCCTTCCCCTCCCAGCCTAAAAGTTAGTTGTGGGCATCTCCTCTACCTCACAATGGCTTCGGCTAAACTTTGCCTCTGGAAGAGTTCTAGGTTTTGTTCTAGGTTTACCTTAATATGACTTGGATTGGGTCTCACCATCATCTCCACTATCCAGCCTAGGCTAAGGTTGCTGAGAGTCCTGGTTCAGTAATATCAAAAGTGTTTCTGATTCCCTATCCCTGTCTTACTTTCTTATCTGCTTTCCACTTTTCTTTCCAGGAAGTTCCATGCAGTGTGAAATCTGTCTAGCAATTAATGGATATTGCTCTGGTGTAAAGGCAGAGTGTCCTTATGAGAATCATGTCTGCATGAGCTTGGTTCTGAAGTCTTATGATAAAACATGTGAGTAAGACAAGCCCCATAAATCTGATTGATCAAGTGCTGTCAGATTGGTGATGGTCTCCTTCACGTTTTCCAACAATGCCCCCATCACCACTGTAATGAAGCCCATCCACCTTATTTCTGGTTGTCGTCTTCTTCTTCTTCTTCTTCTTCTTCTTCTTCTTCTTCTTCTTCTTCTTTTCTTCTTCCTTCTTCTTCTTCTTCTTCTTCTTCTTCTTCTTCTTCTTCTTCTTCTCCTTCTCCTTCTCCTTCTCCTTCTCCTTCTCCTTCTCCTTCTCCTTCTTCTTAAGACCCTGCTCTTCCGACAGGCAGGGCTAGCTTCATAAATTGAGTTTTAAATTTGGAATTCTTAATTTTTGGGTTTTTTAGTTAATTGGCCTTAAATTATTTATTTATTTTTATTTGTTTCCATTTCTATATCGCCCTTCTCCAATAGGACTCAGGGTGGTGAACAGCCAGAGTAAAAAAAAAACAGAACATGCAAAATTTAAAAGCAGTTTAAAATGGTTAAATATTTTTGGCCGTAATTTAAAACAACCCAATTTATGTAATATTTTTAATAATTTTTTAAATTTAAATTGTGATATTTGTATTGTGTTTTTACCTGGCTGTACACCGCCCCGAGTCCTTTGGGAGAGGGGCAGTATAGAAATAAAATTATCCTTCTCCTTCTCCTTCTCCTTCTCCTTCTCCTTCTCCTTCTCCTTCTCCTTCTCCTTCTCCTCCTCCTTCTCTTTTCTTCACTCTGCTTTTCCCAGCATTGGAGCCTTCTCCAGAGAGTTAGGCTTTCACATAATGTGTCTGACGTGGGATAATTTAAGCCTGGTTGCATAGACAGTATAGGAAACCTGTATTTGAGTGGGTGGAGGAATTCCTTTAAATCTGAGTGATGGCTCTGATCACTGACGTTTCTCTCTTGCTCCTGCAGACCAGGCCATCGTGAAAACATGCACTACAAAAGATAATTGCGACTTGTATAAAGATCGGAAAGATAAACTTCTCCCTAAAAAGATAGAAGGTGTTCCAGATGGATCTGTCATTAAAGAAGTTACCTGCAGCAGAGCCCCTCCCTCATTTGCATCCTTCTTCCCAGCATTCCTTGGACTCCTCCTGATGAAGTTCCTCTTCTAAAGCTTCTCTTCCTTCCACCCAAGAAGTTGTCCCCTTTTTCTTGGCCCGTATAATCTCTCCAGTTGATCAGGCAGGGTCTTCGATGTTATGCATCGGTCTCTAAATTTTCCTACTATTTTCTGTTTTCCTATATTTTCTTCTACATGAAAATCAACTAAGCAGACAGAAATATAATCAGCAGCCTTGAGCGTGTGCTTGAAGAAAGAAGATGGTGTAATTCAAAGAAAATAAGAAATAAGTAACAAATAATAAAATCCATCATTGCCTGATTCTTTTGATTTCGTGTAGGAAAAAAATATATCCACATTTTGCATTCTACAGGGGTTGTTTGTTGTTTCCTTCTTCCAGATGTGATGTGTTTTGATATTGATATATTTTTGAATATTTTGCATATGGATATATGGATTCATTTGTCCTGGGAGTGGTGATGGAGTGAGTGGTTGGCACATTTAACAGATTGGCACATGGGACTTTTTTTTTTTTTTTTTTAATAAAAGTAAGCTATTGGATTGTGATTGTTTCCACCAAAATAAAGACAATGCTGTTTTCATTGTTTCCTTTTGATCACTGTTTGTTTAGAAATTAATCTGCACACCAATTACTTTGTCTGCTGAAGGGGAGGGCTCTAATACGTGGCTCTGAGGACCGAGAAAGTGAGGAGATCTTGTGTTGATGCAAGTGTTAGAGAGTTTCTATGCATGGAATGAATGCTAATGAATGCTGGACCTTTTGACCTTTTATTGACAAATAAGTCAAGAAAAGTTTTATTGACTTCTCTCCTTGGAGGGGCGGGGGAGAACCAACTGAGACACCGAGAGGGACTTTGAGGCTGCAGAATTAAAATTATGAATACCATGTTAGGTATTCAATAAGCCTTGGTAGTACAGTGGTTTAATGCACCCTGTTATTAACACAGCTGCCTGCAATTTCTGCAGGTTCGAATCTTACCAGGCTCAAGGTTGACTCAGCCTTCCATCCTTTCTAAGGTAGGTTAAATGAGGACCCAGTTTGTGGGGGCAATAAGCTGACTTTGTATAAATATACAAAAGTATGAAGGCTATTGCTTAACGCACTGTAAGCCGCCCTGAGTCTCCGGAGAAGGGCGGCATATAAATCAAATTAAAACAAAAAACAGTAAGTTTTTTTTTCATCAATGAAAATGAGCCTGGACTTTTATTTGGATACTCAAGATGGATGTTGACATTAAATTAACACTCTATTTTGCAGCCTGCCTGGGTTTCCTCCCCAGGAGTGCTGAATATTGTAAGAACTGTCATGGATAAGAAGACGGATGGAGGGAGAATGCAGGGAGAAGCCCCTCCCTTCACCGTCAGTGATTGTAATCCAGACGGGAGACACCACTTTGTCACGGGGGTGGGGGAAGGAAGGGGGTGCTTGGCAGAAGCAGAAAACTGGATTGTTAGAGCCACCACGAATTGCTGGAGGTGGGAAAGAGTCGGAGGCTCCATGCCTGGCGCCTAGAACTACATGGATGAGTGGCCTCGGGAAAGCAGCAGAAGCTGAATTTCTTCTGAGTTCATCTGAGGCTTGGGTGACTTTGGGCCTATCACCAAGAGACTGTGAATTCTAGTCCCGCCTTAAGCATGAAAGTCAGTTGGGTGACATTGGGCCAGTTACACTCTATCAGTCCAACTGACCACACATACATTCTAATGAGGGGAAAATAGGAAGAAAATGCAACATTGGGTATGCTCGTTGCTTTGAGTTATTTATAAAAATAATAAAGGTGAGATATAAATTAGATAGATAGATAGATAGATAGATAGATAGATAGATAGATAGATAATAGAAATTATAATAGATAGATTAGATAGATAATGATGATGATGAAAGATAGATAGATAGATAGATAGATAGATAGATAGATAGATAGACAGACAGACAAACAGACAAACAGACAGACAGACAGACAGACAGACAGACAGATAGATAGATAGATAGATAATGATAGGTAGGTAGATAGATAGATAGAAAATGATAGATTAGAGAGAGAGAGAGAGAGAGAGAGAGAGAGAGAGAGAGAGAGGATGATGAAAGATAAATAGATAGATAGATAATAATAATGATAGATAGATAGATAATGATGTTGATGACGATGATAGATAAATAATGATAGATAGATGATAGAAAATGATGATAGAGATAGATTAGATAGATAATAACGATGAAAGATAGATGATAGATAGATAGATGATAGATAGAAAATGATGATAGAGATAGATAGATAATGATGATGAAAGATAAATAGATAGATAATAATAATGATAGCTAGATAGATAATGATGATGATGATAGATAAATAATGATAGATAGATGATAGAAAATGATGATAGAGATAGATTAAATAGATAATAATGATGAAAGATAGATGATAGATAGATAGATAATGATGATGAAAGATAAATAGATAGATAGATAATACTAATGAGAGAGAGCTAGATAGATAATAATGATGATGATAGATAATAATGATAGATAGATAGATAGATAGATAGATAGATAGATAGATAGATAGATGTAAGAGAGGCCTCCAGAGTCTGTGCAGAAGGCGATTCTACAGTAATGATCAGAGACAACTTTGAATCCTGATGGGTAATTAAACAGCAATTGTACAAGTGCTTCTGATATACAGTATGCTTCTGTGCTTAGATGCCTTGTGTGTTGTTTTGCAGAACTTCCAGGCCACACAATTGTGCTCCTTCAAGAAAAGATCATCTTTTTAACCTCCGTGCCTAACTCATCATCATGCGGTTTCTGCTGGGGCTCTTCTTCTTCTCCATCCTCCTGACTGCAGGTATGGTCAGAGTTGTGTTCCTGGGAGCTTCAGTGGAACTATAAGGAGGCTGTTCCATACTGGCCATGGGGGGTTCTCTAGGGACTGTGAAAAACCTCAAGAACTCCTCAAAGATGGAGCCGTTTGCTGTGGGGGCAGATTCAGAACAGACCAAGGTTTATCAAAAGTATTTAAATCAAGAGCAGATTTATCAGGTGTGTTGTCCTTTCATGTGGAATAACCATTAAGCAAAATAAGAAGATGTTTAGAACACTACAGGAAGGAAGCGTCACAAAGATTTTCCTCATAGTTACATCCCCTTAATTATTTCACTGTCACATGTCACATTTGTTGTCGTCCCCCCTCTTTTTTTTGGCATTGTCTTTATCTTCTGTCCTTGATTTTAATCTGCATTGTTAAAAAAAATAAATCACTTCCATTGAGGGCTACCATTGTTGGGACATCAGTTGGCCTTGATCTGGTCCTGGGCCAGATAATTGAATGAGAGTCCTGAGGTGGGTTTTTTTTTTTGAGCTTCAAGATAACACAACATGGCCAGAATGTTTCTTCTCAAAATAAAACTGAAAGTCTGTCTTGAAAATCTCTTCTACCTTAGGTGCCTCCACCCAAAATATATATCGAAATTAATGGGTGGGAGGGACAACCCATGGTTCAGAGTTTTTTAAATTTTATTTATGAAATTTAAGTACTGTCCATCTCAGTCTCAGAGAGTCTGACCCAGGGATGAAATTCAGCAGGTTCTGACAGGTTCTGGAGAACCCGCAGTAGAAATTTTGAGTAGTTCGGAGAACTGGCAAATACCATCCCTGGCTGGCCCCAGAGTGGGGTGGGAATGGATATTTTGCAATATCCTTCCCTCAGGAGTGGGGAGGGAATGGGGATTTTGCAGTATCCTTCCCCTACCACACCCACCAAGCCACGCCCACCAATCCACACCACACCCACCAAGCCACACCCACAGAACCGGTAGTAAAAAAATTTGAATTCCACCACTGCTCTGACTGGTTTACAATTACCAGGTTTACAACTATCAGGTAGTCCTCAATTTACGAACACAATTGAGCCCAAAAATGGATGTTGTGAAGTGAGAAGTTTGTTAAGTGACTTTCGCCCCATTTTGTGACTTTTCTTGCCGTATTTGTTAAGCGAATCACCGCCGTTGTTAAATTAGTCACACGGTTGTTAAGTGAATCTGGCTTCCATGTTGACTTTTGATTGTCAGAAGGTCGCAAAAGGGGATCACGTGACCCCGGGACACTGCAACTGTCATAAATACGAATCAGTGGTCAAGCATCCAAATGTAAAGCACGTGACCATGGGGATGCTCCAATGGTCATAAGTGTGAAAAATGGTTGTAAGTCAGTTTTTTCAAGAATAGAATAGAATAGAATAACAGAGTTGGAAGGGACCTTGGAGGTCTTCTAGTCCAACCCCCTCCTTAGGCAGGATTCCTTACACCACATCAGACAAATGGTTATCCAACATCTTCTTTTAGCTCCACCTACTTTTCCCTCCTTTCCAGGTAGTTCCTTGAAGTGTGAATTTTGTGCATCAACTACTTCAAATTGTTCTGGTCCAGAAGTAATATGTTCTAAGAAGAACAGTGTCTGCATGACTGTGATAACTGAAATTATCACAAGTGAGTAAGAATAGTCCAATTTTTCCCAACGAGGAAATAAGTAACACGGGTTTTACAAGCTACATAAATCTGACTGACCATGCCCCATCAGGTTGATGATGGTCCTTGAGGTCTTCCAGCAGTGATCCCATCACCACTGAAACAAAGCCCATCCACCTTGATGCTGGTTGTTCTCATCTTCTCTTTTCTTCTAATTTTCCCAGATTTATGGCCTTCTCCAGAGAGCTGGATCTTCATATAATGTTGCTGATATAGGATAATTTTTTTTTAAAAAAAAATTATTTATACATTTTTCTTTAACGTACATTAGTGCTTGGCAAACAGTGTATTGTCTGGGTCAATTTATTTATACATAGTAATAGTAGTAGTAATAATAATATTGTTAACTTCTACCTCTATTATCTAACCATTGATAAAACAAATCCCATGTTAAAAAATGTTCTGCATCTTCTTTGTCTTTTATCTTTAGGGTTAACCTGTCCATTTCTGCACATTTTGATATTTTTAAAATTAAATATTTCTTGCTTTAAATCTATTTGTTGCCTTTAACATTTTCTCTAACCATGTGTGTATTTATATATATATTGCCTTCGGGCATGTCCACCACATATGATAGTAGGAACCCAACACCTGGTTACATTTCCAACATTTAGCAGACATGCTTTTGAACATCTTTGCTAGCTTTGCTGGTGGCAGATGTAGGATAATTTGAGCCTGGTCATGTCGATAGGATTGGAAACCTGTATTGGGGTGGGTGGAGGAATTTCTTCAAGTTCAAGTGATGGCTCTGATCACTGGTTTTTCTCTCTTCCTCCAGAGAAGAAAATTCCTGCCAGCATGAAACGTTGCAGCAGTGTAGATGATTGCAAGCATTATGAAGGTCTAAAAGGGAAGCTTATATCTGGCCAGCCACTCAACATAACAGATAATTTAGGTGGCCTTCTAATTGGATCTGTCATTAAAGACGTTATCTGCAGCGAAGTCCTTTCCTCCTTTGCTTCTCAGCATTCCTTGGGCTTCTTCTCAGCATTCCTTGGGCTCCTCCTGATGAAGCTTCTCTTCTAAAGCTCTTCCTTCCACCCAAGAAATTGTCTCCTTTTCTTGGCCAGTATGTCCTCTCCAGCTGATCAGGCGGGATCTTGGATGTTACGCGTATGTGTCTAAATTTTCCCAAATGGAAACCAGTTAAGCCATCAGAAATACAATCAGCCGCCTTGAATGCATGTTTGAAGAAAGCTATTTTATGTTAATTTATTCATTCAGCTTTTTATTTTCTCTTATTCTGTGGATGCCATCTCAATCCTGAAGGGAACTCTGTGCATTACTTATTTTTTCTTCCAGTTTAGTCTACAACCCTGGAGTTTTCTAGAGAGAAGAAAGCTTCGTGAACATATCTAGTTGAGCTGGCTCAAAAGCATTAAACACACAGAGAGAGACACAGAAATAAAGAGACACAGATGCGCGCGCACACCAGTGGTGGGTTTCTACCGGTTCATCCCAGTTCGTGCGAACTGGTAGCGGCAGCAGCAGGAAGCTCTGCCCAACCACCCGGACGTCATCATGGACGGTCTGCACATGCGCAGAAGCGGTACACGTGTAAGCAGTCAGAATTGTAAACTGGTAGTGAAGGTAAGTGGAACCCACCACACACACACACACACACACACACACACACACACACACAGAGAGAGAGAGAGAGAGAGAGAGAGAAAATTAACAAGCTCCACTCTGCAACCATCCAGTTTTTTCTTGTCTGGTAACAGCCTAAATTAGGATCAAGTTGTTTATGTTGGCATATGTACCAGAGGTGGGTTTCAGCAGGTTCTGACCAGTTTTGGAGAACCGGTAGTGGAAATTTTGAGTAGTTCAGAGTAACCAGTAGTAAAAATTCTGACTGGCCCCGCCCCTATCTATTCTCTGCCTCCCAAATCCCAGCTGATCGGGAGGGAATGGGGATTTTGCAGTAACTTTCCCCTGGAGTGGGGAGGGAATGGAGATTTTACAGTATCTTTCCCCTGCCATGCCCACCAAGCCATGCCATGCCCACCAAGCCACATCCACAGAACCGGTAGTAAAAAAATTTGAAACCCACCACTGATATGTACTAATTCATATTGGCCTTCTTGGTTCATTCAAACATCACAAGGAAGCTTCATCTTCATCTTTCATCTACTTTGAAGAAAGCATTCTCTTTCTCCTGGAGAAATTCTCCATCCCCATTTACTGCTCACAACTTTGGTGGGTAATGTCGAAAAACCATTTGCATAGAACTTTAAGAGAAACACCAAAGGATGGAGCTACTGGTACTTTGCACTTCACCCTACTTACTCTGAGTTGTTCTGTTGTTCATGAGCGTGAGAGGCTGACCCATCACCAGAGATCAAGCAAGAGTCAATGATTGCTGTAGGTTATTGCTCCGCTTTGAAAGAAAGAGGTGCTAATTTAATCTTCACCTTAAGCAATTCAACAGATATCTTCAATAATTTCTTCATCCATGATTGGATGAAGTGCATTGCCATGCGCTGAAAAGCCCGATTGGGCTTATTATCAGGGGATGTCTTATTTTGGGGGAAACAGGATGTATATGTATATGTATATGTATATGTATATGTATATGTATATGTATATGTATATGTATATGTATATGTATATGTATATACTGTATATATGTGTGTGTGTGTGTGTGTGTGTATATTTATATATTTATATATATATATATAAATATAAATATTTTTCTTTTTCGTAGGCTTTTATGTGCATATTCTTTCTAGCCAGGTTTTACCTACGCAAGTATGTTGCTTTTCAGCAAGATACAAAAAGCCCAGAAACTTGTGAATGAGATTTCACAGAACTAGGGCTGAAGAACATCTTAGCTTGCGTAGGTAAAACCTGGCTAGAAAGAATATGCATATGTCTTTTTTCCTTTTTCGTAGGCTTTTATGTGCATATTCTTTCTAGCCAGGTTTTACCTACGTAAACTAAGTTGTTCTACAGCCCTGGTTCTGTGAAATCTCATTCACAAGTTTCTGGGCCTTTTTTCTGCTGACAAACTGCAACTCTGTGTTGCTCTCTGGGAGACTCAGATAGCTATTTCTGCCTATTAAGGCATCATCAGTGAGCCACACCCACTTCTCAGATATCCTCCCTGTAAAGGTACAATGTGTCTTTTTTCCTTTCAAGACACATTGTACCTTTACAGGGAGGATATCTGAGAAGTGGGTGTGGCTCACTGAAAGTTTTGAGGTTTTATAACAAACCGCAGGAAGCTCAAGAACACCAAATGTTATCTTTTGAGAAAGGAAGAGCAATTTTTTAAAATTTACTCCTTTCCCTTTTTTTCTTTGCCAGTACCGACTCAAAACAATCAACAACCACACGAATGCATGGATTAAAATTCGCTTTTGCAGATGCTCTTTTATGAACACCCTTCTAAACAGTTTCTCTCTAATGTGGGATTGAACGTCTGCAGAACATGGCCAAGAAAACCCCTCCCAGTGAAAAACTTGGTCTTTAATCGCAAGGTGTTTTAAGTGCAGATTACTCATCGTCTATTCTCTGCACAAAAGTCAAAGGATAATTCTGGGAGTTAGAGTCTTAAAGTTGCCAAGGTTGGATACCCCTGGGGCTAGGCTCTAAATGTGATCATATTTATCTAAAGTTATGTAAAATGTGCTAAAACCTAAAATTGCAAAAACGTGGTGCTAGCTAAAGGCATGTTAATATCTGAAGTTACATCCGTTTCTAAGGCCAATCCTAACTTTCATTAACAGAGGGAGACCATCAAGATCAAACAGTTGTGCTCATAAGTTTACATACCCTGGCAGAATTTATGATTTTTTTGGCCATTTTTCAGCGAATATGAATGATAACACGAAAACTTTTCTTTCACTCATGGTTAGTGTTTGGGTAGTTTCTGTTGTCGTTATGACTGAAAAAGAGTAAACAGAGTTGATTGATAATAAATGGCTTCAGCCAAACACTAACCATGAGTGAAAGAAAGGTTTTCGTGTTATCATTCTTATTCTCTGAAAAATGGCCAGGAAATCATAAATTCTGCCAGGGTATGTAAACTTACAAGCACAACTGTACTAATAGGCAAAGGTAAAGGTTTCCCTCGCACATATGTGCTAGTCGTTCCCAACTCTAGGGGGCGGTGCTCATCTCCGTTTCAAAGCCAAAAAGTCAGCACTGCCCAAAGACGTCTCCGTGGTTATGTGGCCGGCATTAATAAAAGCCAAAGGCACACAGAATGCTGTTACCTTCCCACCAAAGGTGGTCCCTATTTTTCTACTTGCATTTTTTTTTAATGTGCTTTCGAACTGCTAGGTTGGCAGAAGCTGGGACAAGGAATGGGAGCTCACCCCGTTACGTGGCACTAGGGATTCGAACTGCTGAACTGCCAATCTTTTGATCGACAAGCTCAGCCTCTTAGCCACTGAGCCACCGTGTCCCTTTTGAGGTACTAATACCACTCTATAAAGCCTTGGTAAGACCACACCTAGAATATTGCATCCAGTTTTAGTCACCACTCTATAAAAAAGATGTGGAGACTCTAGAAAGAGTGCAGAGAAAAGCAATCAGGATGATTAGAGGACTGGAAGCTAAAACGTACGATGAACGGTTGCAGGAACTGGGCATGGCTAGTCTAGTGAAGACATGATAGCAATGTTCCAATACTTGAGGAGTTGCCACAGAGAGGAAGGGGTCAAGTTATTTTCTAAAGCATCTGAAGGCCGGACAAGGAATAATGGATGGAAACTGATCAAGGAGAGATTCAACCTAGAAATAAGGAGAAATTTCCTGGCAGTTAGAACAATTAATCAGTGGAACTGCTTGCCTCTGGAAGTTGTAGGAGCTTCATCACTGGAAGCTTTCAAGAAGAGACTGGATTGCCACCTGTCAGAAATGGTGTAGGGTCTCCTGCTTGGGCGGGGCATTGGACTAGATGACCTACAAGGTCCCTTCCAACTCTGTTAATCTGTAAGCAGGAACTTGGCCTTCACTGTTTGATGGATTGCACATGTGGCAGCAGAACATTTAAATCCAGGGTGCAGTAACATCAATTCATTTTCAAACAGCATCTGGGCTTAGGCCAAACTTGCTCAATCCGATCTGCTAGCGAGAGAGAAGCTAAATCTGGTGTGCATGCCACAAAAACAAGAAGAAAGAAGAAAAAGAGCATATGCTGTAGTTTATTTCTCCAAAAGGACAAGAGCAGAACATTTCACATGCTACTTTTTAATACTTGCCCTCAAATACTGAGAAAGGAAAGAGTGCGTGACCTCAAGTGAAAAAAGAAGTTTTCTAACGTGGGTGTTTCAGCTTTCAAACTTTCAAACAGGAAAGACTGTAATGATGAAACCGATAAGGCCAATCTCTTCAACATGTTATTCGGTTCAGTCTTTGTGAACAGCAATGCCCCACATTTCCTAGTCATACCACAACTAATTACAACAATCTTTTTTTTTTTTAAATATACTTCATTGGTTTTAAAATTGTAGAAAACATCAAATCTCTATTAACATCTGAGGTGTCGTGTGTTTACATATTCACATTTTATATACATCAAATAAATTCGAATCTACCATTATTGAAAATAAACGTAACCTAACATTACAATCTCATTCTATTATTCCACCATTTGTACCACCTTTCCTATACTGCATTGAATTTTGAGTTGTTTTTTTTTTTTTTAATTTGATTTATATGCCGCCCTTCTCTGGAGACTCAGGGCGGCTTACAATGCATTAAGCAATAGCCTTCATACTTTTGTATATTTATACAAAGTCAGCTTATTGCCCCCACAAACTGGGTCCTCATTTAACCTACCTTAGAAAGGATGGAAGGCTGAGTCAACCTTGAGCCTGGTAAGATTCGAACCTGCAGAAATTGCAGGCAGCTGTGTTAATTACAGGGTGCATTAAACCACTGTACTACCAAGGCTCTGGTAGTACTGTACTACCAAGGTTCACATCATTATTAAGATCACTTGTTAATTTTGCCATTTCTGCACAATCTAAGATTTTGTTTATTAGTATTACCTCTGGAGGAGTTGATTTGTCCTTCCAGTACTTTGCAAAAACTAGCCTGGCCACTGTTGTGACGTGTATTATAAGATGTATCTTATCTTTAGAAAATCCATCTCTAATCATTCCCAGGGGATTTCTATTTCAGGGGATAATTCTATTTCTTCTTCCACTATTTCTCGTAACCAGTTTCGTATTTTTGTCCAAAA